AAAAAAAAGGAGAAGGGAGAGGGTTGACATGTTGTGGGGTTGTTAACCAATATCATACAAAATATGTGTACTACTGTTTCATGAGAAACTATTTGGTCTGTAAGCCTTCACCTGAAGTACAATTAAAAAATTAAATAAATAAATTTCCATAGGCTGGAGTCGGGGAGGGCTGTTGAAAAAGGGATATAGGGCTCCAAGTCCTATGATTAGAACACTGATGGGGTTATTTTTTTCTCTAACTTCCAGTATTCAAAAGTCATGTCTCTCTCCCTTCTGTCCTCTAAAAGGGAACATGTGATCAAATACTCCACTTTCCCATCCTATCTCTAACAGCAGGAGCATAGACTCACCTGGGTATGATACTGAAGGGCTCTGGAAAGAGGCCTGGGGGGTAGGGGTAACATAACTGGAGGAGGGAGCCACTGGCAGAGTGGTAGCAATCTGGGTTTTCCCAGGACTTTTTACTTGCTGAGTGCTGGGTATACTATCAGGATCTTCCAAAGTCTCAGGTTGGACTGATATATTCTTTGGCCATTCAGGAATCTCTGCAGTCAGGTCTGTGGTTAAATGACTGGAAATTGTAACTGCCTTGTGGACCTAAAGAAATGAAAAAACTTCATTTGAGTAGGCAAAAGTTACATAGTCAGTTATACAAGATTGTTTCATGAAATAACTGCACTTTAAAATTTTTTGAAAAGTGCCAATGTCTCATAGAATGGGAGAGAAATGTGGAACAGAACCTCAAATTCCTAAAACAAAAAACCAGACTATTGGACCAGCTGAGAATGGAGGACTCCCTGAGACTATTGACCCGAGATACTCTTTAAACCTTGAACTGAAACTAGTCCCTGAGGTCACCTTTTAGCTAAATAACAGCTTGGCTCACAAAATAAAGAGTATCATCTGTGAGTACTGTGCTCCTTTAAAAAATCATCTATATGAGACCAAACGGTCAAATAACTACTTTAAAACAAAGATAAGAGGGGCTTCCGGCAACATGGTGCTCTAGGCATAAGAACCACACTGTCCCTTCACAGCAAAGATCTGAAAAACTAAGCCAAACAGAGAAAACAGCAATCCTGAAACCCTAAAATATCAAATGAAGAGATAAAGAACTCAGCCAAGCACCAAATGGAGTGAGAAACTGACAGAGAACGGAGAGCTAGGAGAGGTTCATGCAGAGGTCCACTGTCAGCTAACGCAGCACGGATCCGCCATCTTGGACTCCTATCAGAGACCAGCAAATAGGGAGTACGAGAAAACAGCTTCACGGAGCTTCCAGCAGGAGATAGAACAACCAGTAATTGACAATATACACTTTCCCACCCCTCACCCTTCTTCACCCCCATTCAGCCTCCCCCGCTTCACATGGCCACAGTCTCTTGGCTGGAAAGCATCGGCTGCTTGGATTCCACCCACCTGCACCAGCCGACTCCCCGAGTGCCATTTGTTGGCTGCTGGTGTTGCTTTTTTGCGCTTCTTTTGATTTCTTCCTTACCTCTCACCACCTACCCCTCCTTTCGCTCGAATGCCTGGCTCCATGTGCCATATTTGCTTCTTCCTAAGGGGCTGCGGAGCTCCGTTCAAGTGTGGAACTGCTTGCCGGTCTGTGCTGCCACGCTGGTGGGATCCCGGGGCTTTTTTTTGTTTGTTTGTTTTGAATTGTTTGTTTTCTTTTTCTTTTTTCGAGCTGAGAGCCCGTTCTGGCCGGGCAATGCTAAGTGGCTTGGGACCTACCCCCTCAGCTTGCGCAGACGCACAGAGAGATCCCTGAGTGCATTTCTTTTTTCGTGTTTCTCTTTTTTTGGGGGGGGCTTTTCTTGTTCTTTTTTTTTTTTTTTATTAATTTGTTTTGTTTTCTTTTCCCTCTTTTTCCCTTTTTGTCTTTCTTCATTACTCAGTTTCACGTCTCTCTATACCTTCCTTCTCTTCCTGTCCCCTGAATACCTGGTGCTGAATACCTCTACACCTTCTAGCCACACTATACTTCGACACCTGGGAACAACTTCTCCAGACCTCATAGCTGCACCGGTGGCATCTCTGGGAGCTTTGCTGTTCTTTTTTCTTTCTAATTTTTATTTATTCACTCTTTTCTTTCTTTTTTCTTCTTCTTCCCCTTTTTGTTTCTCTCCATTTCATAGTTTCTCATCTCTCCATTCCAACAGCAAGCTCCCCTAGCACTCTTTTTTGTTTGTTTTTATGTTTTTGGTTCCTGTTCCTCTCTACTCTCTCCCATATCCATCTTACCTCCACACATCACAATCTCCCCCCTCCATCCTGCCTACCTGCACCGTGCCCTTAACATCACACCACCAAGCAGCACAGGCACGGCATACCGGAACCTGCCCTGTACTGATTACTGACCCGCCCTGGTGGCTGTAGTAAATGCCACAAACAACCCATCCCAGCAACTCCTCTACAGCTACGCCCTGCTGTACCATATCTGAGCTACTGTCCCTGCCAACTGGAGAAGGAGGCGAAAAGTATCGTGTCCACAGATGAGCAAACAGCAAAGAACACACAGCCCTCCTGCTCAGACATAGCCAAATAATTTTAAAAAAAGGACGAAACAAACAAATCTACAATCAATAAATGAGAAAAATAACTACTGAATGCCCCGAAGACAGCAGACAATATCAAAACATTTACAAAAAAGGACAGGATGGTTCCGGTAGGCATCCAAACACCAGATGACTTTCCAGTGGAAGAAAAGGCACTAGAACTACCTGATAGGGAATCCAAATCTCTAATACTCAGAATTATCCAAGAGTTGAAGCAAAAAGCAGACAAAAATGAGGAAAAAATAGACAAATTCATGGAAAATACAGACAAAACAAATGGAAGAATTCAGGAAAATAATGCAGGAACAAAATGCCAAAATAAATTCACAACTAGAAATTATACAAAAACAACAGTTAGAAATCCAAAAGATAAACAACAAGATTTCAGAAATGCACAGTGTCACAGAAGGGCTGAGGAGCAGATTTGAAATGGTGGAAGACAGGATCAGTGGAATTGAAGACAAACACTTGGATACAACTCTGTTTGAGGAACACTCAGAAAAAAGAACAAGGTAGAATGCAGAACACTTTCTTTATAAACTGTGTTATGCCAATTGAGCTAGATGTTCCCTGAGACCATGGTTCCCACAGCCCTCTGCCCAGCAATTCAGTCCCTCAGGGAGTTTGGATGTGTCTATGGAGCTTCCATGACCTTGCCTTGTACAAGTTGTGCTGGTTTCCCCAGTACTGTGTACTGTCTTACCCTTCACCAAAGTTACTACTTAACTATTGTCTATTTAGTATTTCCCCCTCCCACTACTCCCATCCCTCGTAACCAACAAAGATTGCTTCTTTTTGTGTGTTAACTTTTTCATGAGTTTTTACAGTAGAGGTCTCCTACAGTATCTTTCCTTTTGTGACTGACTTATTTCACTCAGCAAAATGGCCTCCAGTTTCATCCATTTTATGAGATGCTTCACAGATTCATCATTGTTCTTTGTTGTTGCATAATACTCCATTGTGTGTATGTACTATAGTTTGTTTATCCATTCATCTGCTGATGGACATCTATGTTGTTTCCATCGTTTTGCTATTGTGAACAATGCTGCAATGAACATGGGTGTGCATATGTCTATTCGTGTGATGGCTCTTATTTCTCTAAGATATATTCCTAGGAGTGGGACTGCTGGATCGTATGGTATTACTATTTCTAGCTTTCTCAAGGAAGGGCCAAAATGGTTGTATCATTTTGCATTCCCACCAGCAGTGCATAAGTTCCGATCTCCCCGCAGCCTCTCCAACATTTGCTATTTCCAGTTTTTCTGATTTGTGCCAGTAATGCCAGGGTGAGGTGGTATCTCATTGTAGTTTTAATTTTCATTTCTGTAATGGCTAGTGATCACGACCATTTCCCCATGTGTCTGTTGGCCGCTTGAATGTCTTCTTTGGTGAAGTGTCTGTTCATTTGCTTTGCCCATTTTTTAATTGGATTGTCTTTTTGTTGTAGAGGTGTTGGATTTTCTTGTAGAGTTTAGAGATTAGACTTCTGTCTGACTTGTAATGTCTAAAAATTTTTACCCAGTCTATAGGTTCTCTTTTTACTCTTTTGGTGAAGTCTTTTGATGAGCGTAAATGTTTAATTTTTAGAAGATCCCAGTTATCTAGCTTATCTTCTGGAGTTTGTTTGTTGTTGGTTATGGTATGTATCCTGTTAATGCCGTGTATTAGGGCCTCTAGCATTGATCCTATTTTTTCTTCTATGAACTTCATAGTTTTTGGCTTCAGGTTTCGTTTTGGATGAACTATTCAGGCTGTACAGAGCCCTGGTGGCGCAATGGTTAAGCACCTTGCATGCTAACTGAAAGGTTAGTGGTTCGAACCCACCAGCTGCTTTGTAGGAGAAAAGACCTGGCAATCTGCTCCCATAAAGATTATAGCCTAGGAAACCCAATGGGGCAGTTCTTCTCCATCACACTGGGTGGCTATGAGTCATAATTGACTCAATGGCACACAACAGCAGCAAGAACAACAATTCAGGCTGTATGGGTTTAAAGAAGTAAGGCAACAGCAGGGATACTATTTAGGAGGACACTGCATTCATCCAAATGAGAAATGATGAGTGACTAAACAAGGGTGGTGGTACAGATTTTTAAAAATCAACTTCAGTGAAGTATAATTTATAAAATAAATGGCACCTCTTTAAAATGTATAGGTCCATGATTTTTGACAAATGTATACACCCACATAAGCACAATAAAGAGAACATTTCTCTCATCTGCCAAAGTTGGCTGGTGCCCTTTTGCAGTAAATGCCTGCCTCCACCCCCAGGCTCAGGCAACCACTGATTTGTTTTCTGTTACTGTAGATTAGTTTGGGTTTTCTTGTATTTCATATAGAGGAATCATATGCATACTATTTTTGTTTCTGGCTGCTTTCATTCAACAAAATGTTTCTGAGATTTATTCATGCTGTTGTGTGAATCAGTAGTACATTTCTTTTTATTACTTAGTCATAGTCCATTATAGATATACCAAAATTTGTTTACCCATTCATTTATTGAGATTTAAATTCTTTTCAGTTCTCTAAAACTATCATGAATAAAATTGCTATGAATGTTTGAATACAAATATTTCTGTGAACTTACAGTTTAACTACTCTTGGGTAAATACTTGGGTAAACTGCTGGCCATCTATAAACGCATGTTTAACTTACATAATAACTTATACAATAAGACACTGTGAACTATTACCCAAAGTGACTCTACCATTTTGCATTTCCACCAGCAATGTATGAGAGCTCCACTTAGTTACTACACAACTTGGTGTTTTTATTTTTTGCCATTCTATTGATTATAAAGTAGGATCTCATTGTGATTTAATTTGCATTTTCCTGATCACTAATGATACTCAACATCTTTTCACGTGCTTATTGGCCATTCATATATTTTCTTTTCCCATTTTTTTTTTTACAGCTTTATTAAGGTATAGTTAACACCATAAACTGAACATATTTAAAGCGTACAATCTGATCAATTTTGACATTATGTGTACACCTATGAAACAACCACCACAATCAAGATAATGAACATATCCATCA